TTGCAACAATCATGGAGCCATCTTCTGAGAACAGCAAACCAGGGTGGGGTGAGGATGCAGAGGAGCGTGCAGACCCATGCGTGGCCTGAAGGTCAGGAACTCAGATGCTCGGTCCACATTCCGTCGGCTCCTGGGCCCCCATGGGGTGGAGCCGCCCTGGAGAGCTGGGGACAAAGGCCCAGGAGGGCACTGAAGCCAGACTCCCCGGTCCTGAGCCTGGCTCCCCACTGCTGGGCCACTCCGCTGGGCAAGTTCCAGGACCTTCTTGCCTCGATTTCGCATCCATCCCTACCTGGCTGTGTGTAAGGACTGCACATGTGCCTAGACTCCAGCCCCTAACAGCCACCTGGCTCACAGAAACATGCAAGAAAGCGCTGGCGACAGCAGTGCGGTCACTGTGTTGCGTCCCTGATAATGGTAATGGATGGCAGCGTTACCGTGCTGGGCCACATCCCGTGGACCAGGGTGGAGAGAGTTCTCGTCCAGCTTGCCAGGGTCCTTCACCTCCCACCACTTGGCACGGGCCCTTCCCTGGTGCTGTCCACTCTCAGCATGCTGAGCAGGCAGACTGCAGGCTCAGAACACCCACCCACACGGCCACTGAAGCCCTGGTGGATCTGTCTACAAAAAGGAGGAGGAAAGATCGGGTCTGGTGTCAGAGCCACAGACCCTACCATACTGGTTCCGGGATGCAGAACTCAACAGTGTCGTTTCATTAGAGAAAAAAACTAAATTTTATACTGACTGAGGAATAAGTCAGACTGTGGGATTCAGAGGGAGGTGAATCTGGGTGGGAATCCTGCTGTGGTCATTAACTGTGAGGTGGATGGGCAGCAGGCCACGCCATGCACATGAGGAGCAGTCTCCTGCTGTGTCCCCTCCTTTCCATCCTGCATGGGGCCCTGGGGGGAGACACAGGGAGCCTCCCGCAGCTCCAGGCTCCCCTGATCCAAGGAGGCCTGCAGACCAAGTGGGGAGACTGAGGCCATCCCGGCTGCCTCCTGGGCAGTGGCCTTGCGCCTCTCCCGGCTGCTGCTCTCCCTCAGTGGCCTCCCAGTCACGCCAGTCAGAGCGGCTTCTTGTGACTTCCCAGTCTCTCCTCCAAACAGGGTGACTGCCTCGGCCCCTGGCGCTGGGCCAGGTGGGCCAGAGACCCCAATCCTCCACTGGTTTTCCGTCTTGTTTTGGAACCCAAGGGCTCCACTCTGGGACCTGGCACAGGCCACTCCCGAGCAGGCGCTTACAGAGGCTTTCCCTGGTTTGTCACTCACTTACTCACTGGCTCATCCATTCCCGGGAGGACAGGGGTCTGCAGGGCCGGTGGCCGCCCCCGCCCCCAGGGCTGCTGCTCCCTGCCCCGCGCCGTGCAGGTTGGTGGTTACTCTGGGTCGCCTGGAGGGCTTCACACACAGGCCCGGCGGCGGGCAGGGCCCAGATGGCCCCGGCTGCAGGCAGGAAGGCCAACTCTCCAGTGCACGTGGCCATAACCATGTTCTTTCTGCACTACACAGTTTGCGGGAGAGGTCCCCGAGAACCGGGTGGAGACGGTGGTCGCCAACCTCACCATCATGGACCGAGATCAGCCCCACTCGCCCAACTGGAATGCCGTCTACCGGGTCATCAGCGGGGACCCCTCAGGGCACTTCAGTGTCCGCACCAACCCTGCCACCAACGAGGGCATGGTCACCGTGGTGAAGGTGGGTGGCTGCCGCTTGCGTGCACCCTGGGACCAGTCGAACGGTAATGTGCAGACACCCCACCTGCTGGAGAGACCCCAAAACAGCACCACCCTCCCAACTGCGTCTAATATCTTCATTCCCCCCTTAATCTCATATGAGGCGAGTCTCACAAATGGACCTCCTACCATTGAAACATCTTCATGTTCCTGAGAGAATGACAGGTCATGCAGGAGCGGAGCTTTATCCGACCTTACGCATAAAATCAAGGCCTTCACATGAGCTGTATCCCCAGCCCTTTTTATTCTTTATTTTGAGATTCAAACTTGCAATCCTCCTGCCTCAGCCTCCAAAGCAGCTGGGATTGCAGGTGTGCGTGCATACCTGGCTGTGAGTCTGAGGTGGGGTCTTGTGTGAGTGTCTGACCTTTTCCAGTAGGCTTCTGCCTGCTCTGAGCCTAGCGCTCTCCTCCGCCTGGACTCCGCTGTGGGTCTGGGTACCAGGTTATGAAGAAGGTGTGTGCAGACCACTCTGGGGTGGTGGCGCGAGGCCAGCCCTCTCTAGCCTGTAAGGCTGTGTAGTACACGGCTGGGTGGTTGGAGGTCTGGGGCTGCTGTTTTAGAGGGTGTAGAGCTGTAACTATTGGCCCCCTTCTGTCATGGTTTTGGCCACGTCTGCTTTACTAGAAAACTGTCCCGAATCCAGGTTTTCAAAGACCCGGATGGGAGCCTACCCTTGCCGTGTGGGGAGCCAGGCTTCTGCCGTGCTCACAGCCAGTAAGACCCAGGAGAGCAGACTCGGGTGCGGTGAAACCGCGTCAGACTGTTCAGCCCTGCGTGTTTGTGTGGCTGTCCTTCCAAAGTGGCGGCTGACAGGACTCAGAAGAAGGCAAGAACGAAGGCAACAGAAGGGTTACCTCAGAGCTGCCATGGACGCGTCCAGCTGTGCAGAAAAGCACGCTTACCTTGCGGTTGTGCCACTTGGAATCTGTCCTTAGCAGCCAGTCACACAGAGCTTATCACTGATGTTTAATACTTGAGGGCTTCATTCTGTCAAGTAAGAGTAGTCTGAAGGCCAGCAGTTGAGGCCAATAAGACAGCTTCCCAGTCAACAGAGACCTCGTCTTTTCCTCTTTCTCTTCTCTTGTGCAGCGCTTTCATCCTCCGGAGTACCTCATGGTACAAAACAGCTGCAAGAGCTCCAGCCACCATAGGAATTTGGCAGGCAGCGGAGTAGCTAAGAGAAGAAAAAAAGCTTGCCTCTGCTAAATTAGGGGTCTGTCTGGACCCTGAACAAGGACGTCTACCTTTATTCTAGACCTTCCCAGAGCATGTTCCCACCGTCTTAGGCGGAATTGAGTCACATGGTCATTCTCAGCCAAGAGGCGCTGCCGCCTTAGTCTTTCAGCAGGCACATTTCCCAAAGTGCTGCCACTGAGGAAGAAGCGGGAGCCACAGGAGACCCCAGCACCTGCCAGTCCCGGGCTCCTCTCCACCCTCGTGCCCAGTCTTCCTGGCTATCAAGACCCTGGTATTCGAAGCCGTCAGCCAAAGATCAGCCGTGCCACAGACTCCCCGCCGATCCCTCTGCTTCACTTCCTCTGTGAAAGTTTCCCTCCATACAGAAAAGCAGGAGGGACAGCAGGACGGGTCCCCACCCTCACCCCAGAGCCGGTCACAACTCGATGCTCCTGCTGGGCCCTGGGCGCTGACCGTGGGGACGAGGGGCTACGCCCCCGCAGTCCACTCTGCCCTGTGCTCGCCAGCTCCAAGGCAGTGGGGAGCCCTCTCTGTGCCCGCGGCTCTCTGGCTCCCCACGAGCAGCAGCTCTCACCTGGTGTCCCTGCAGCGCCAGCCAGCTGCGTGGGGTTGGTGGTTCAAGCCCCACACACACGTTGTGGCCTTAGCTTCCAGCCACCCTCTGGCCTCGCCCTGACCACCTGACGAAGCCCTGCCTGTTTGTGCCAAGCAGAGAAGCTGAGACAGCCCCTCCCGGCCCCCCAAGGCCTCGACGAGTGGGTGGCGGTGCGACCTCAGGGAGGCCCTGCCGGGCTGAGGCTGAGCAGGGGCCTCTTGCAGTCCTCAGAAGCAGTCAGGCTGCTGCAGCGATGGAAAGACCGGCAGGGAGGCGCTGGTGTTTGTCCCCCACGGCTTGGCGCTGTGCCTTCTGCTGTTTCCTGGGGACTCTCCTGTTCGTCCTTTCCTCATGTATTTGCTGGTATTTTTTGCAGCGCGAACATCCTTCCCGGTGGATCTCACCTCAACACACAGTCCTTGGGGGAGGGTGGGCACGGCAGGGAGGGAGCATGCAGCAGCACCCAGGGTGGGTTCCCGGCCTGCACGCCCTGATGGTAGGGACGTCCTCCCAGCCCGTGGAGTCCTCCTTGCTGATGTCTGTACAGCCCTGCGCCCCATCTCTGATCCAGAGCCCCCAAGCCAGGCGCTTGCCTCAGGCATACCTGTGCTGGGCGCCCAGCCTGTCTGCTCCCAGGTCCCAAACCCCAGGGGTGTCTGTCCCCACCTTGCCCCCTCAAAGCCTGCACTGCCACTCAGACCTCAGGGCTCCAGGGTTGCTGTCCCAGAGCTTCCTGCAGCCTGGCTCTTGCCCTGGAGCACAGCCCTGGCCTGGTCCCCACTGGCCACTGATTGAAGGACAAGGAGCTGAGCCCCAGAAGCCACTGCAGGCTCCTGGGAGCAGTGTCCCGCCATCCCCAGATGGGTGGACTACCCACTCCCTAGCAAGGGGACAGAGCACCTTGCCCCATGGAGAGGAGTGTGCACCCTCCACGGCTCCAGGGCACCCCACCCCCACCTTGGAGCCATGTCTGGGGGCAGGGGCCAGGCCTCCCCTCAGGAATGGATCCAGCTGCCCTAATTGAAACTGCAGGAGCAAATTACTTATTGATTTCTCCATTACAAACGCGCTTTATTTTACCTTCCTGGGACTTTTGCTGGCCATAACCACCCTTCTGGAAGGCCTGCTCGCTCAGGCTGTGACACCACTTTTAATGCAGACACGCGGCATTAGTCCACAACCCCGGGGACAAAACCAGTCAACGTGGGAGTGGGGTCCCTTCCCCAGCACCACAGCTCCAGGAAGCAACGTGTTTCAAAAGCCCGGCCCACCTGGGAGCCCGGGGAGAGCCTGCGGCAGCAGCCGCAGTCACAGTGCAGGACCAGAGGCCCTGGGTGCCGGAGGGCACCATCATCCGGAGGCAGAGCAAGTGCCCAGCGCCGACGCATCCAGTCATTCTGCCCTGGACAGCGTGTCTGACTTGAGGCAGCTTAAGCCATCGAAGGTGCTGCCAGGGAAGCACTTGCAGGTGCCAGGCCTCTGTGAACAGGGAGCTCAGAAGTGACAGCCGGTCCCAGCCTCCACGCACAGCCGCAGGCGCTGAGGAGGCCGAGCAACGGGCACAGCAACGGGCACAGGTGAGCCATTGCCAGGTGGGCCCACATGTGGGAGCGCACGCGCGTGCACACACACACACACACACACACACACACACACACACCACCGCCAGCAACCACAGCAGAGCGGGGCCCGGAAGTCTGGCTCCAGAAAGAAAGCTGCTCTACGGTTCTATCACAAGGGCCCCGGCCAGGCCGAGAAGAGGCCGTAACAACCAAGAAAACCAACCACTCGAGCTTTGCCTGCGCATCCCGCTGAAGCGTGTTCTCCTCATTCCCAGATCTCACGGTCCTTTACTCCGAAACACGTCAGGGTGCCCCTGGAAAACGTACAGCTTCCATGCCCACACGCCATCGTCCCACTAGCAAAGCCCACCGAACCTCCTCATTACCCAAGTTTCTGTTCAGTCTCCCTTCGGACTGTTTCTGTGGTCTAAGTGTTCAAATCTGAACCAGGCAGCTTTCCTGCGTGGCCGTAGGTTGTGACATCTCAGGAGTCTCTCGAGCCAGAACGTGCCTCCCATGGCTGCCTGTGGGGTTCCCTCACGCTGGGGCCAGGCAATGGCTTCCTTGCCTCTGTCTGGGCCCTCACTGCCCCATACTCCCTGCGAGGAAGGGTGTAGACTGAAGGGCTGATCCCCGAGAAAGGACCTGGAGCCTGGAGCTGAGTTCAAGCTGGGAGACCCATGGCAGCCTGCGCAGGGCGCGTGTGACAGCCCAGTCCCGCCGAAGACTGCGTGGTGACCCTGTACCTCAAGGCCTGGCTCCCCGCCAAAGTGCACCTGTCCGCGGCACCATCTGCTGGTGATGTCACAGCCCCGAGGCAGGAGGGGAATGAGAGGTGCTTGCAAACTTCTGCCATTCCTTCCTTAGTGGAACCCTCCCAGGCAAGGCCTGCACATGCCCTGTAATACAGCTCTGTGGGGTCAGAATAGTCACCGCCCCGAAGACGACCTGCTCCAGGAAGCTGCAACGCACCATGGTGGAAGGCAGGATACAGCTGGGGGATTCTATGGAGGGTCTGGGGGGGGAGCTGATCGTGACTTTCCAGGCAGCCCCAGGGCAATTGCGTCCTTGCAGGAGGAGCTGAGCTGGGCCTGGCGGCGCATGCCGGGAATCTCAGTACTCGAAGGCTGAGGCAGGAGGATCGCCACAATTTCAAAGCCAGCTGGAAATACACAGTGAGTCCCTGTTTCAGAGAGAAAACGAAGAGAAGACTAGAAGAGAAAGGCAGAGGTCAGAAAGATGGAGAGAGAGAAGCCAGGAAAGGGCCCTGTGGGGCCACCCAACACCCCACAGGACCTGCCAGGTTCCCACAGTGCTGTTCTCCCGTGTCTCAGAGGCCTTTGCCACGGAGGTGCCAGTGGCAGGTGCCAGGCAGGGCCCAGCTTCCAGCAGTCCTCAGAGATCACAACTCAGCCGACCCCACGGGTGGAGTTGTCATTGCCATTTCGAATCTTCTTTTTCTCCCTATTGTGTTTTGTTTGTTTTGGGGGGTATTTTTGGTGCCAGGAATGAGCTCAAGATCTGTACTTTCGAGGCAGGCGCTTGTGCTGCTGAGCTGTATCCTTGGCCCCTGGTTATTGTTATTAAGGCTTCGTGGATTTTTATGCATTCAGAACTCACTGGGGGTTCTAATGCCCAAGCAGCCCCGCCCCCATCCCGTGGTGGGGTCCTGTGCGCTCTCACCTCCAGCCACTCCTCACCCTTCCCGCTGCAAGGCCTGGACCACTCACCGCGGGGCCACTACACATCAGCAGTACATGGGCCCAGACTGGGCGTTGTGGTTTATTCCACTGGCTGAAATGAGTATTTGCTTTGAATTTAACTTCAGAGAGTTCTTATTTAACTGTGTTAATTTTATCTTTGTATCTCCCTTTTCTGTACTGTAAATCTTGATTCTTGACATTATCAGTGTAATTATTTAATTTACCCCACAATATGCATAAAACACTGTAAGTACCAAACTCAAAATCACTACCCACAGCAGCAAGAAGGAGTTAGTGTGTGATTTCTCCCTCCTGCTGCTGTCTTAGAAGTGGCCCACGAGGGCCCCAGCGCCGTGCCCCTGGCCCGGTGGCGGCTCCCTTGGGAGCTGCGTTACCGGTTGATGGACGCTTGGTTTGCACATTTTGGAAATTGCTTTGCACAGAACTGCGCCTGCTGAACCAAGGTGAGAGCGTAGGCTGGCTGGTCTCCAGTCAGGGGTTCCGGCGCAGGGTGCATGGCGGTCCCGTGCAGAGACTTGGGCGTGCCTTCTGCCTGCAGGCCACGCTTCTGCCAGCGTCTGCTGTGCACTCCGAGTTGCTTTCTGAAGCTATGAGCAAGCGCACGTGCATGGCGCCGTGTTCTCACTCTGAGATGTCTGCAAAACCCACATACTTGGTGGGAGGCTGGAGGACTTTATGGACATGCCTGGCCCCAGGGCTCCCACTCCTCGAGTGGATGGTAGTGGGGTGGGGTTGGGGAGGCCAATGAAACAGGAGGTGGGCTGAGGAGAAGTGGAGCCTGGCCTGCTTGGGTGTTGCCTGGGATGTGTGTAGCCCCCGGCGAGCTCCTCCCCAGCCCTGCCCCCAGCTCCTTCTCCTTTCCTCTCCCTCTCCTTCTTCGTTCTCCCCTCCCTCTACCCTCCCCCTTTCCCTCCCCTCCCCTTTCCTTTCCCCCCAGGAGCAAAGCCACAGGCCTGCGTGCAGAAGGCATGTGGCCCAGGAAGGACCCGGCGTTCTGTGGACAAGAGGCACGGAGCTGTAGATATATTTAAGACCATTGTAAGTCGAGCAGCCGTGGTCAGTCTGAGTGCCTGTTACATGAGGAGTGTCTGTCCTCAGGACTGAGCCCTGGGTCTCACACACACTAGCGAGCATTCCGTCACTGCACCCATCCCCAATTCTTTGTTTTATATTGGGCCAGAATCTCACTAAGCTGCCGGGGGAGCTGGGCTGCAGGCAGGCACCGTTGCGCCTGCGCAATCTCACCTAGAGCACTCAGCTCTCGGGAGACGGGAGCCAGGGTTCTGGGCTGCACAGGGCTCTGCTGCAGCCTGCCCCTCTCTCCAGAGCTGGCCACCGCTAGCAGGCACACATGGGTCCCATGGTGGCCTCTACTCATGCACAAGCTGCCTGGCATGTGCCCAAGGAGGACTTTTAAAATGCAATTGCAGGGCTGGGAGATAGCTCAGCAGTCTAAGTGCTCGTCTGGCAAGCGCAGGGACATGGGTTCTATCCCCAGGTACCGCATGCTGTGCAGTGCCAGTTCCTGAACCCTGGGTACTCCATGCCAGCCACTGAAACCAGGCATGGTGGCATGCACCTGCAATCCCAGTGCTGGGGAGGCTGAGACGGGAGATCACTACAAGTCCAAGCTACAGAGTAAGACCCTGTACCAAATAAATAAAAAATTAAAAATCAATATATAAAAAATAAAATGAAATTGCAACCCATTTGTCACATGGGGCCCCACCCAGCCTGCTGCAGGCTTGGCAACTCGCGGCCCACGCCACCTCTGCTGCTTCTTCAGCCCACCTGTGTGGGGAAGACTTGCACAGAGCTTCTCTGGCTGTACACCTCCAACTACAGACTGCAGAAGCTTCCGGCAGGGCCCAGCCTGCCTAGGGCGGAACTGCATCCCATCCCTGAGGGCACAGGCCAGTGTGCTGGTGTCCAGGGACTGCAGCAACAAGTCAGAACACACACAGTTAGCTAGCACATGCACACCCAGCCCTCAGGGAGGCTCAGGCAGAGGGTCACAAGCTCGAGCCCAGCCTGCCAGGCTAGCAAGACTGTCACAGTAAAACGTGCACTCACGTAGCTTAGTGCAGAGGGTCTGGGCTCAATCTCCAGCACTAAAACAAAAACAAACTGTGCTCCCCACAGCTCAGGGGCCTCAGATCCGGGTGCTGGCAGGGCTGTGCTCCCCAGAAGCTGGGTGGAGCCCCCATTCCCCCCTAGTCTCGGATGGGTGCTGGCAACCTCTGGGGCTCGCTGGCTGGGAACCCACCCTCCCAGCCTCCGTCTGCTCAAGGCCTTGGCCTGGGTCTGTGCCCTTAGTCACTCCGCCTTTGTCTGAGCTGGCTAATCCCATCTGAAGACATTTATCTTCTCCATTAACGGAACAGCATCTGAAGAGATCCCATGTCCAAATCCACTCACAAATACTGGTGGCTGTCCCCTCTGGAGACCCCCATTGGCTCGTCATTCCCAGTGGGGTACTCTAGGCTGGACAGAGTGGGTGAGTGCTAGACCAGGAAGGAGAGGCCACCCCAGGGCAGGATCCCCAAAGAGTCCTGTTCCTGCCTCTCTGGCACTGGGGGTCTTCAACCCAAATTCTACTGCCCGCCATTGGCCACACCCCGCAGGAAGCCAGAGCCAGGACACTTGGGTGCCAGAGTCAGGACCAGAGCCTGGGGGCAGAGCAGGGGGAAGAGCAGACTGGGGCTGGCCTCACACAGACTGACCAGCCCCTTCTGCTTCCAGGCGGTGGACTATGAGCTCAACAGGGCCTTCATGCTGACTGTGATGGTGTCCAACCAGGCACCGCTGGCCAGCGGGATCCAGATGTCCTTCCAGTCCACAGCAGGTGTGACCATCTCCGTCACAGACATCAATGAGGCGCCCTACTTCCCCTCCAACCGCAAGCTGATCCGCCTGGAGGAGGGTGCGCCCCCCGGCACGGCACTCACCACCTTCTCGGCCGTGGACCCTGACCGCTTCATGCAGCAGGCTGTGAGGTGGGTCCGCAGCCGCACCTGCCCAGCGGGGGCTTCACAGCCTTGGTGCTGCTATCCAGGAGAAGGTACCTGCAGTGCCCAGAGAGACCCAGGGCCAGAAGTCAGGGCAGGAAGGTGGGGAGGGCTCCCGAGCTCTGAGGAGCCCACAGCTCCGGAACACCAGGAGCCCAGAAGGCGGCTGTGCCTGGGAAGCAGGCTGCCTGGTCCCTGGTCCCTGGATGTGGGCACTGGCCCAGCCCTGGCCTCTGCTTCTGCACCCCTGCAGGTACTCAAAGCTGTCTGACCCAGCGAACTGGCTACACATCAACGCCTCCAATGGTCAGATCACCACAACAGCTGTCCTGGACCGGGAGTCCCTGTACATCAAAAACAATGTCTACGAGGCAACCTTCCTAGCAGCTGACAATGGTCAGTGCATCCTCTCAGGAGGCGGCTATCCCAGGTCCCAGTGCTATAGGCAAGGAGGGAGGGAGGCCACCGCAAAGAGGGTCAGAGAGGTGCAGGCGCAGTGAGCAGGGCTTGTTTACCCACGTGCCCCCCAACAAGACCCCTGTTCATTCACCCTGCATCTCCCCAGCTGATGGCCACCACCTGTCAGCTGTCCAGCAGCCCCACACAGAAGCCTGTCAGCCCCTCCAGCACTGTGGCTCCAGGGACTCAGGGTTGGAGTCAGGTGACAGAGGCCACCCCAGCCTGTTGGTGCTAACACTGCGACCTGAGCCGCTAGTGCCTCAGTCTTCCCACCCACACCCGAGACCTTGTATATCTGTAGCTGCAGCTCTGGATGAGCAGACAAGAAGTGAGGGACAGCCAGCCAGGCAGGAGGCACTGGGGAGACCCCAGAGCAGGGCTTGCACCGAGAACCCCTGGGGTCGGGCCTGGAGGAGCTGGGCGGGAGCTCCGGCTGGGAGGCCAAGCCTGGGTCTGCACCCCAAGGCCAGCTGAGCACTCCAGAGTGTCGGGCTGGGGCTGGGGCTGGGACTGGGGTTAGCGCTAGGGCTGGGGCTGAGCAACAGGGGACTTGGAGCCTCTCTGTGCCTCCTTTTCTTCTCCTGTGCATGGGGCTGCCTGGTCCCCATCACGCAACGTGCAAGTGACTCTGCGCAGCACCAAGGACAGGCTGGCGGCTTTCCCGCCACCATGTCCCCCTGCCACCATCACCTCCTCTCTGCACACCTGCTGTCGCTCTGAGGTGCTCGTCAGTGGAGTGCAACTCTGCCTCCAGGGCCGACCTCTCCTGGGCTCGGTGCAAGTCCATAGCAATGACACCGATCTCAGCAAGGGCGAGGGCGAGCTTCTCTCCCATCACAAGCTGGCAGTGGAGGCCCCAGACCAGGCTGGAGAATGCAGCCTGCTCAGTGGCCACAGCCTGCCTCTGCCAGGCCACAGTGAGGTCCCGAAGAGCTGCTAGTGCTCCACCCAGCACAGCTGTATTCTGCCAAACTGAAAGAGGAGCAGGCGGGATGAAGGCAGGACCCTACCAGTCTGAGGATTTCCAGGAAGCACAGACCTCTGCACACAGCTCTGGAAAGCCAGAGGTTAGACACAGCCAGGTCCAGCCGCAAGGCGTACTAGGAAATGTAGTCTTCTAAATGGACAGCTATATCCCAGATAAAACTTGAGACTCCAGTTGTTCTATTAAAAGAAATAAGTAGATGTTAGGGGGAAACTCAGCAGTCTCTAGGTTAGGGAGTCAGGCGGCTTCAGAACAGTGACGGAAGATGCAGGAAGTAGGACTGAGAGGAAGCGCCGCGCTGCTGAGACATCACAGCAAGGGCAGCCACAGCCCCAGAGCTGGTCCCACAGTAGCTGAAAGCCAGGCATGGGGCCACTCTGCAGGCACTACACACCTGGCCATGCCAGAAGCCACCTGGTCCCCAGCCCATGCCGAGCGCCTGTCCTGGTGTCTCCCCAGCCCTCAGGTGCCAAGGCCCAAGCACTACTGCAGCTACCTTGGGGGTGGACCATGCCACCTCTGGGCTTCGCGAGGGCCAGGCCAGGCAACTCTGTTGTGTCGGGCTGTGTGTGACAGTGTGTGTGTCACATGTGGCCATGCATCCACACGGTCCTGCACTCTCTGCACCACACACAGCCAGCAGCTCTCTTGGCTGCAGTGCAGTGTCGGCTTCACACGGGTTTGGGGCTGTGGCCAGGGTAGCCCAGGCCGAGGAGCTGTGTGTCCCTTGGCTGGATCCTCGTATCTCTAGGTTTGTGCTCGTGGCTCCCTGTGACTGCGTGATCAGGGAGTCCCTGAAGTGGCTTCCTGTGGTCACCCTGCCTATCCCACAGGGATCCCTCCAGCCAGCGGCACGGGGACCCTGCAGATCTACCTTATCGACATCAACGACAATGCCCCCGAGCTGCTGCCCAAGGAGGCACAGGTCTGCGAGAAGCCGGGCCTCAACGCTGTCAACATCACCGCAGCAGACGCTGACGTAGACCCCAACATTGGCCCCTACGTCTTCGAGTTGCCCTTCGTCCCTGCTGCCGTGAGAAAAAACTGGACAATCACCCGCCTGAACGGTGAGCACTGCCACGGAGGTGACACCAGGCCCAGGTACAGCCCGGGCCACGGAGGTGACACAGGCCCAGGTGCAGCCCGGGCCACGGAGGTGACACCAGGCCCAGGTACAGCCCGGGCCACGGAGGTGACACAGGCCCAGGTGCAGCCCCGGGCCACGGAGGTGACACAGGCCCAGGTGCAGCCCCGGGGCCATGGAGGTGACACAGGCCCAGGTACAGCCCTGGGCCACGGAGGTGACACCAGGCCCAGGTACAGCCCGGGCCACGGAGGTGACACAGGCCCAGGTACAGCCC